TGTGTCCCATTGCGGAGATATCCCTTCATATTAAGGGAATTCCTTAGGGATCCCCAGGTCACGAGAACATGTAACCCCTTTGGAAGATTTCTCCTTTATTACTTTTCTGGGGACAACCCAAAATTTTCTTTTACTTCCACTTTCAACGATAATGGTAAACAGGACAAAAAGAGAGGCTGAATCTTCTTAACGAGGGCACAAAGTAATAAAAGCCTTCTACACACTATCCAAAACTAAGAAAAAGTTTGCCTTTAGTTATACTTTAAAACTACTTGTGAACTTCTGCATCAGACCCCTCCGTATGTAAAAAAAAAAAAAAAAAAAAAAAGCACTCATCACCTTCTTTACTGTATACATATGGGAACAAAAGTTCAACCTTTTTCCTGTTTCTCACAATTTATTTTTTTTTCTGGATGTCATCCATCTACTTAGATGTGATAGTAAAGGTTCATGTTTTAAAAAAAATTTAAAATGGCAAACATATACTCACCTGCTCTGTGCAATGGTTTTGCAGAGAACAGCCCCGATTCTCCTCATCTTGTGTCCCTCATTGGTGCTGCTGGCCCGAGTGCCCCATAGCAAGCCACTTGCTATGGGGGCACTCATGCTTGGCTTGACCCTGCTCCCTCCTCACTAGCTGTGATTCACAGCAGCCGGAGCCAATGGTTCCCACTGCTGTCTCTGAGCCAGTGAGGAGGGAGAGAGATGCTATTTTCATGCACATCGGGGGAAGCTGCATGTAGAAGGTTTTTTACCTTAATGCAGAGTATGCATTTTCTTAAAAAAAAAAAAACTGCATTTAGAACCGCTTTAAAGAGAAACTGTGCTGTGCTCAAAAGGCAGGCAGAGGGTAAAGGACTAGGCACCATTATTGCTTGTGGTCTCCCCACAGCGTATCGTTCCCTCAATACTTGCCTCATAGTGATATCACCAAATCTCATTCCAGTCTCATAAGAGTAGTAGTCAGTGCCTCAGATCTGACACTACATTTTGCAGAGTAATGCGTAGGCTCAGTTATCACTTCTATATGTTCTCTATAACTTAGCAATTTATCACTTTTTTGGAGGTCGTGTCCAACTGAGGATTTTCACAAGATTACCCCCCTCCTTCTTCTTTTTTTTTTTTTTTTTTTTTTTTTTTTTACAAATACTTTTTATTCTTATTTAGTAAAAGGGTTTAGACACAAAACAGAGGCTCACAGGCATACCTCAGCTCAAGATACATCATAAAAAGTAATAAAATTGCAATTACAGTAAAACAATTAAACCTCCACGTCCTGTTATTATAAGCACTCCGGTTAGGCTATAATCAGAATAAGTGCAGTAAAACGGAACAGCACAGTGGAAAGCTTCCATCAATACAAACAGATTTTGCTCTTGATGCCCTGGAAAAAAAAACAACCAAGATTCTGAGAGTACTTGGAAATCAGAACTAATTCACCAGGGCAATCCATGAAATTTAAAAAATATTATAGGGATCCATTCTCATAGCGGAAGTAGTGGAGGGCGAATCCAGACAGATGTCCCAAACCTTAGAAATTTTTTTGGGGCAACGCCTGAATTTATATGTAAATCTGTAGCAAGGTATAGCTGCATTAATCAAACTCTTCCAGAAATCTACAGTAGGGGCTAAGGGAGGTTTTCATTTTAGAATTCTAGCCTTGCAAGCATAATATAAGAGTAGTCCTAATGGTGTTCTAAGTGCTCTAGTAGGAGCCAAGGGGCGGACTAAACCTAGAATACAAACCTGTATGGTCAATGGCACTGAGATAGTAGTGAGTGTAAAATGTGTAATCTCCCCCCAAGATGACTGCAACATGGGGCAACTCTAGAAGATATGTATAAAGGTAGCCGAATCCATAGGGCGTCACCGGCATTTGGAAGGGATGGATGGAAATATCCTATGTACCTGCTGAGGAGTGAAATATATTCTGTAAAGAATTTTAAATTGGATCAGACGATCTCTTGTGGAGACCGATTGTGACATAGGGTACTCCCATACATCCTCCTAGTCCTCGTTATCATACTCCATAACCTTAACCATAGCCCATCCAGGCCCTAGTGTACAGTAGGTAATAGAGCTTTATAAATAATAGACAATGGTTTTATCAAGTGAATCATCTCTAACTAGTGACTTCAACCCAGAGGCAACAAAAGACACCAAGGAAGTACCAAATTGAGTTTGGTATGCATAGCGCAACTGGAGATGCTGGAACAGGTACGAGTTAGTGAGGGCGTATTGTTATTTCAAGGTGTCAAAGGACTTCAAGGTACCTCCCTTGCAAATTTGGTTGAGAAACCGGATTTCCTTAGAGGCCCAAATTACAGTTTCTGGAAAGGAGAAAAATTCAGGTGGGGAGAGGATTAGCCACAAGGGAGTGTGAGGAGACCATCTATGAGATGACAAAGGATGCCAAATTTGCTGGGCTCTAATAAGCGTTTTCATAGATAGGGTGATAGGAAAGGGAGCAGTGGCTTCTCTATATAGTAGATTTCTCAGGCCCTCATACAATCCAACACAGGCCACCTCCAACACCAGGGAGGCATTAGTCTTGTTGGCAATCAGCCAGTTGCGGGCATTCGATTGGAGAGGTGCAATAAAATAGGCATGCAAGTCTGGGCAAGCCAGGCCCCCTTGGGTCCAAGGCCTTTGTAGTACTGACAGCGTAAACTGGAGTTGACTGGAACTCCACAAACAAAATGCCATGACTGAGTTAAACTATCTAAAAAAAATTTCCATGGAAGCCATACTAGAGTTTGCCCCAGAACGTACAACAAGGATGGAAGCAATTTCATCTTTATCAAGTTAATTTTACTGATAAGGGAAAGAGGCAGACTATCCCAGGATTTCATTTTTGGCTTTGCGATGTGTAAGAGGGGTAAGAGATTTAAGGCGCAATACTCTGAAACCCTGAGTGATTTCATAAAATTCCCTTTAAAGGATCATGTAAATCACAGTAGCCAATTGCCAGCTTTATTTTGTGCATGAATCTTAAATTTGTCTTTTGATAATTACATGTTTTTATATTTTGTTTTTTTAGGAAGGGATGACTCCTGAAGAGTCTACTGAAGAATCAGAGGTGATTATTTATTATATTTCTATTCAAATATGTTGTCTATGTAAGCACTCTATTATTAGCATACATTGTTAATATATACTTGTTCACGGGCGGACAGTGGCTTAGTGGCTAGCACTTCTGCCTTGCAGTAATTGGGTCATGGGTTCAATTCCCAACCATGGCGCCTCCTGCATGGAGTTTGCATGTTCTCCCTGTGTTCGCGTGGGTTTTCTCCCACACTCCAAAGACATGCTGCTGGTAGGTTAATTGGCTCCTGTCTAAATTGTCCTAGTTTCATCCCTGGCCACGCAGGATCTCCTGCATGGTAGGGGTTGGGGAAAGACCTGGCAACCTACCCTGTAAAATAGTTGCTAAGAGAATTCATGGAAAAAAAGACGCTTACGAGTGACGGTCCATGCAATCGCCAAGGGTCGGATACGACTGAATGGATAGATACTTGTGCACAGTTTCGCTCATGCGTCAAAATTGTCTTTGGAAATGAAAAACTGTATTTAAATTTCTCATGTCTTAAAGGATAAGTTGACCTTTTTAGAAAAAGATTATAATTGTGCATTTATTTTTTTTTTCCTGCTGGAGCCTAGAAAGCAATTTCACCTGTGATCATTGGATCAGGGGTGCAATCTCAGGCTTCTGCAGACAAGCCCCTCAGCTTTCAGCGTGCACCTCACGGCTGTGTCTGAAAGCTGCAGGGCTTGTGAATGAACTTAGAGAGCGCTCAACGCCCTCGCAGTTCATTCAGAACTACAAGCTGTCTGCCGCAGTGGCTGATAGTACTTGTAATTCATTCATTCACAGGGAGCTGTGCAGCCATGTGGGTGGAGCCTGCACAACCACAGTGTTTTTGAATTGTGACTGCGAGTGCAGGGGAAAGATCCCCTTTTTACTGTCAGACTGAGAAGGGGTTGGGGAGAGAGGTGGCATGAGCTGGACCATGTTGCATGTAACCTGTTCTAGAAAGGTAAACATATTCTTTAAGACTAATATAATAAACTTTCATGCATTGTAAGCATAATATAGTAGTAATAAAGTGTTTTATAGAAGGTCCATTGGGTTATCTTTTGACACTTTCTGACCAGTAATATCAGCCAGTCAATTGCTAATGCTGTCCAAGAAATACTGAAATAATGGTAAAATCATAAAGGTCATTCAGAAAATGTATGATTATACAGAGTCAGTATTAGACTTGGAGCCACTCAACAGTAAATTATGTACACAAATACATTAAAATTCTTACTCCAACTCAAAGAGATGAAATATGATTTTGGGGTGAGTACAGCTATATCTCTTATAGACACCAATGAAGAAACATCTCACAATAATTTAGGTATCTATACTCTCCCACAAGGCCATAAGGATAGGATCACTTGTTGCTAGGTATAGGTATTGTAATGCAAATAGCTCAGTGTTGACAAAAATATGTTGCTGTTAAAAAATATTTAAACTGTCATTATTTCCTCTACACATCAATGTTACATTGCTGAATAAGCCATTTTAGGCCTTCAATATATCATCTCCCCTATTTGACTGTTCCCAGAATAGTTATTTTTAGCTACATCATGTGACTGCCTTTTTGTTGGATTTCTCTCAGCATGTCCTACAGTGGTCATTCTATGGCAGTGGTTTTCCTGTAGATTGGGAGCTGAAGGCTCTATGCCATAAACCAGGGGTCTCCGAACTTTTTAAACAAAGGGCCAGTTTATTGTCCTTTAAATTTTCGAGGGGCCGGACTGTGGCCAACGGGAGTGGACATTTCCTGGCATCAGTGGCATTGCCAGTTTTAGTATTAGGAGGAGAAACCGTGCCCTATGATTGGGAGGAATAGTTCTCCATTATTTTTGTCACTGGGAGAAATGGTGCCCTTTTGATGGTGTCAGTTGGCAGAACAGTGTTTTGTATCAGTGGGAGGGATAGTGCCTCAGGCAGGGGCAGACTGACCATTTGGAAACTCGGGCACTGCCCGAGGGCCCGGTGTCAATAGGGGGCCCCATGAGATGCCCCTTGTATCTTTTTCATAGGCTTTTTTGAGTTTGGTCAAGGACACAGGGGCCCCATGATCCCTTATTGCCCGGGGGCCCCATGAGCAAAGTGTCACAACCGGCCCCAGGGCCGCAGCTTGGAGACTATTGCAATAAAGTTTTAAATTAAATTCATACATTTCATTTCAGTTTGCTGTATTTTATTAGAAACAAATGTGGATTAACGTATATGTACCATTAAAAAGACCTAGCCTGTATGTGTGTGTTTATTTTAAAGCGTCAGTCCAGCCAAAGTGAAATATTGGTTATGAATGAAGCTTAGGGGGCTGTGTTAGCACTCGACTGGTTATACGCCTTTGATACTCTTAGGCAGGCCATAGACAATCCGAAACCTGAAAGTTCTGTCGAGTGATAAAGGAAAACGGCTCATACGATTGTGCCATCAATTGTTTAGTTTTTCTAATAAAAATCCATCATGTTGGGTCAGGCACTTTCGATTACGGCACATAAATCATGTGTCGCTGCTGTCACACTAAGGATGCAAAAAAAACAAAGATTTTAAATGTTTGTTCGGTTTTCACATCGCCTATGGCTTGCTTAAGGGTCCATGCATGCTGGGCTTGAAAAAAAATGCCAGTTCCGTTGGTGGAAAAAAATGCTCAAATAAGCATTTTTGTACACAAATTTGGCCTCATGCACACACTGCACCTCAAAGTATCGTCTCCTACAGGTGTTGGAGCTGTTTTGAGCTTTTATTTTTCTCTGCCTCCCCTCCATGTTAGCCTATGTGTACATGCACACTATAGGCATTTTAGGAGTTTAGTGGCAGGGAAGTTTCCCTAGGCTGGCCATAAATGGATTCTTCCATCCATAGCAACAAAATCTCCTTACTATAGCCTGTCCACATGAGAGATTTGGGTGTTCTTGTCTTCCTTTCAGTCAGTCAGCACTTACTTTCTTTCTCAATAAATATAAAAAAAATGAATAAATCCAGAAGAAATAGTAGTATCTACTTATAATAAGGACAGCAGGTGCACAGACCCAGAAACTTGAATAAAGTTATCTTACCAATAGGATCCGTGAGAGAAATAGATGGCCATACATCTACCAAAAACGGAACTCTTAGTTTTGTGGAATGAAATGAGACTGCTGCCATTAGAGAAGGCATGCTCAACCTGTGGCCCGCGGAGCTGTGTGATGTGGTGGCCTGCGACACCAAACCTTTGGAAACCCATACAGCCTTCTTTAGGTGTATGCCGCTCTACTGAATGATTGCTGGTCCTCCATAATCCTGGTGGCTGTCATTCACAAGAAGCTATTATGGCTGGCTCCCCACTCTTCTGTTTCCTTCCTAACATGCAGACATGCGGAGAGGAATGTAATCGAGTGGATTACATCTAGTGGCATCCATACAGGGGTTCTGAATGTGAAATTTCACAGCTGATCATGTGATGTGGTAAAAGGCCAATCACAGCGGCCTTTTTACCACGTGATCAACTGTTTCCAATGACACAGCAGATCACCGGGTAATTGCAGTTGCTGGTTGTCGGCTGCACTTTCCTCACGCTGTCACAGCGTGAGGAAAGTACTACGGATAACCGGCAATTATCCGAAAACAGATCGGCACTGATGATCAGTGCCACCCATCTGTGTCCATCAGTGCCGCCCACCTGTGCTCAGCAGTGCCACCCAGCAGTGCCTCCAGTCAGTACCGTCAGTCAATGCCACCCATCAGTGCCCTTTATTGCTGCATATCAGTACAGTATCATCACTGCCAGCTCATCAGTGCTGCCTATCTGTACCACCTATCAGTGCCCATCAGTGCTGCTTATCAGTGCCCATCAGTGCTGCCTATAGGTGCAGCCTCATCGATGCATATCAGTGAAGGAGAAAAATTACCTGTTTTGCAAAATTTTATAACAGAAACAAAAAAAAAACTTTTTTTTTTTCAAATTTTTTTGCCCTTTCTTTGTTTATAGCTCAAAAAAAAAAACACCCAGTGGCAATTAAATACAAACAAAAGAAAGCTCATTTGCGTGAAAAAAAATTGATAAAAATTTCATATAGGTACAGTGTTACATAGCTGCGGAATTGTCATTCAAAGTGCGACAGCGCTGAAAGCTGAAAATTGGCCTGGGCAGGAAGGGGGTATAAGTGCCCAGTAGGCAAGTGGTTAAACAGTGGGTAAACATCCATCGGGGATTGGTCCCATGGAAAATGATGATCCTGATTGTTTGAAATATTCATTATGCTATTCAAAAAAAAAAAAAAAAAAAAAATTCTGAACCATTCCATTTCATTGTGGCCCAATGTGGTTACCAAATCACTTAAGTGGCCCACGCTATTCAAAAAGTTGAGCACCCTGCATTAGAGGAAACAAGACACATCCACCCCATCAGACGATTTATTTATTACAGGTACTTCTATAGTGCAGTTTACGCAGCAGTTGCATATATTGTAAATTTACATCAGTTCCTGCCCTCAAGGAGCGTACAGTCTAAGGTCCCTAACTCGCATTCATACATACACATATTAGAGCCAAATTAGACAGGAGCCAATTAATCTACCAGTATGTCTTTGGAGTGTGGGAGAAAACCAGAGTACCCGGAGGAAACCCATGCAGACACAGGGAGAACATGTAAACTTTGTGAAGGTAGTGCTGTGGTTGGGATTCGAACCAAAGGCCCTTGTCCTGCTATGCGGAAGTGCTAACCACTTAGCTACTGTGCTATAACTCCACAGTTCTGCTTAGCTGAGGAAATGATCCATACAGAAACATGGAGTCCATGACAGCAGTGAAGGAAGTGGTCAGAACAATTTGACATATTTCATGCTGTAGAAAAAGCGCCGTAGTGCAAAATAGATGGTGTTCTCTCTGTTGCATGTGTCCTTCCATTTCCTTCAATGTACTTATGGACTCCATTTTCCTTTTATGATAGCTCAGTTCTTGACTTAAAAGTTCATAGCAATTGGTGGTCTAACACTGTAGTGACCCTAAGAACAATAGAACCTACCTCTATATGTTAAAGCTCTCCATCAGGCTGCATATTAACAAAGGAGATGCTTATACTACTATATTGGAGCTCTTTACAGTTTTAATGTTTTCACTGAAAATGAATCTGCTTACTTTTCCTGCCAATATAAATTTGTTGGTGGTAAAAAATGTCAAATGTGTATTTACATGCTGCTTGTTTAGCCCTTTGAACTGGTTTGTCTATAAACAAGCCCTTTTACAAGAACTTGTAGAGCATTGTTACAGAAAAAGAATATACAGGTCTTTCTTTATATTGTCCACATCTGAAATAATGTTGACCATGGTATTAGGAATGAGTGATTGAAAACATTGCTTTTGTGTTTATTCCTATCCTTAACAAATGCTATAGACACGTTAATGTGGCCCTACACCTCACATCACAATTGGTTGCCAGAGAGGCCTATTTTACCCATTATCTTACATAAAACTCCAAGCGATTAAAGAATAATGCATGTGAAATTACAAAGTAAAGGTCAGTTTCAATAAACCCTATAAAGAAAAAAAAAAAATTATTTTGTTACAGTCACAATCCATTCAGGATATCTGAACAGTAGTTGTAAAATGCAGGATGTCCTTCACCCCTGTGGCTAAAAACAGGCTCATTTTCTTTTTATATTGTATGACAAAAGTCCCTTAGAGCCGGTTTCCTCTTTATCTAATGACAGCTACAACAAATTGTGACACTGGGTGTCACTCCTGTGAATATTTCAACACCTTATGTTTACAGCTCTAACTTTGTGTGACCTTCTCCCTGCATAATGTTTCATATAATTCCTGCAATTTCAAATTGAGGGGTAGAGATTGCCAGGACCTTAAATTCATTTGGTGTATAGAGAAAACGTGCTACATTCTATAGAAAATAAGGAATAAGCTTTTTTATCTGTTAATGTTAAAAAAAATAATAGCATTTTATTTCAGTTTGGTTCCACTACATTTGTGTCCACCACTGTTTACAACTCATACCAATTGTTTAAGTAGGTCATGAAATAACTCTTAAACTTTCCCTTTGTGTTCAATTTTTGCACTCATACTTTTAAAATGGTTGTAGAGACATGAAAAAGGTACATTCCACTAAAGTGTGTACAAGCTTGAATCGAAAGCACTGAGTCTGGTTCCTCTCTCTGCTGTTTGCATGACTCTTCTCTACTAGATTAAATGGACACTTCAGCATCCTGGGAGAATGCCTGTCTGCCTCCAGCACACAGCAGATGGCTCATACCTCAGCTCTAAGTTTCTCTGAGCCTGTGAGTAGAGGGGGTGGCACTTTTTTCTCTAACCAGCTGTCAGATTATACCCAGCTCTGTACTCTAGCTCTAGCAGTGTGTGCGACATCATCTTCCCACCTCTGCTTTCTGCTGCTGAAAGATGCTGTGTAAAATGTGTGTTTTGGAAGACTGTAGAGAGCTGCAGGTACATATAGGTACGTAGGCAGCGTCAATGAGCAAGGGGTTTGTCCACACTGGTGGCTTCAATTAGCTGCACCTGCTGGCCATGTACCTAATGATGGGTTTACCACAAACGGGCTGAGTACAGTGAAGGACCCAACAGAGAAACGATGCAAACTTTACACTCCAGAGAAGGCAATGGGCTGGACTGTCGCTGTGGTTGCTGAATGGGTGAGAACCTCTGAGTACTGAGGATGTGACATGCTGTGTGGGTATTGAGAATGTTCTTTATGCTGCTAAAATGCTGTCAGAATGATGTCTGCTTGGACAGATGCTTACGTTAAGGCTATGTTGTAGCTATGTTCTCCCCACTATGCATTATGCAGTCTGAGCAAAATCAACTGTCTGCTAGCCCGCTGCTTACCTATTCTCTGCATCTGCTTAAACCTGTTAATCTGGCATCAGTCCAACACCAGTAGATCAATTTGGATTGTCTATACAGGGACTGTAAAGAGCAAGGAAGATCTCTATTGAACTAGTCTATTTCTATTCAAGACTCCTAAAGAGTGATACATGTTGTATCTCCCTGGATATAATTAAAGCATTTTATATACTTTACTTGAGGCAACACCGATCTTCACAGTTAAAACAAATTTCAGGCACTGTGAAGTGCATGAAACTACGATTATACCAGTACTGATCTTAATGGAGTTTGGGTCTTAGGCTGCTTAGACATTGGCTTTTGCCTTTAATTCAAAAGGGAGAAAACCAATTACCACCAATGATGGAGTCTATGTGCAGGTGATACTTACACTGCTCAGCATAAATGAGTAAACCCCAACAGATTTGTCATAAAACCTTTACTTTCCATTCAGAATCAACATTTTCTATGGGACACTATACTACAAAATACTCCCACAAATACAGGCCACTGATTGCAAACAAAATTTGTTAATTTGCACACACAAAAAGTATTTTTCCTACCAAATTCATTCAAGACCATGTTTAAAAAATGAATACAGCCCAACGAAAGTCTTAGAAGCAAAGCTAAATTTTAGACAGTAAGATCATATTAACAAGAATTCAACTACAGATGAGTCTAATTATTCATTATCCAGGTGTCCAGCAGACAGTTGATTATAAAAGGGCATTACTTAACAAAGAAAACCCCTTCCCATTTCATGCTGTCAGTAATGGCACCACATAGAAGAGAAATGTCACAAGGCCTGAGAGAAAATAATTTACACAAAGCTGAAGGCTACAAGAAGTTCAGCAAAGCTTTACTTCTCATGCAGAATACTGTAGCAAAAGTACAAAAATTTAGCAAAGATGGAACTGCAACCATCTCACAGAGACGTCCACAGAAGTTAACACCTCGACAGAAGCATCTTCTGATGAGAAGGGTTGAAGAAAATCGCCATGCAAGTTCACTGCAGTTAGCTAAAGAAGCAGAAAGCCAAACTAGGGTGATTGTTTGCTGTGACACAATATGGTATACACTGCAAAGGAATGGTATGCATGGGTGTCATCCATTAAGGAAGCCTCTCCTAAAGCCCATGAACAAAAAAGCCCGCCTAGAATTTGCCAGGGCCCATGCTGAAAAAGAAGAAGACTACTGGGACTCTGTACTCTGGAGTGATGAGACCAAGATAAATGTTTTTGGAACTGATGGTTTCAAAACTGTATGGTGTCCCAAAGCTGAGGAGTACAAATAAAAATGAATGGTGCCCCCAATGAAACATGGTGCTGGCAGTGTCCTTCTGTGGGGCTGCATGAGTGCTGGTGTCGAGGATCTGCATTTCATTGCTGGTATTGTGAATTCACAGATGTACTGCTCTATAGTAAGAGAGAAGATGCTACCATCACTCTATACCCTTGGTCATCATGCACTTTTCCAACATGACAATCATCCAAAACACGCATCTAAGGCTTCTGTTGCATTTCTGAAGAAGAACAGGGTGAAAGTGATTCAGTGGCCAAGTATGTCTCCCGATCTGAACCCAATCGAACACCTATGGGAAATTCTGAAGAGACAAGTTGAGTGTCACTCTCCATCCAGCATCCAAGCTCTCAAAAAGGTCGTTCTTGAAGAATGGAAAAAGATAGATGTTGCAATATGTCACCAACTTGTTCATTCCATGCCTTGAAGACTTGGTGCTGTTGTTACAAATCATGGAGGTCATACAAAATACTAAATGTAGTAGTTTTTGTTGTGGAGTATATTGATTTTTTTGCGTCAACTAATTTGAGTAAAATTGAAGATTTTGTATTCTAAGTTATTTTATTAACCTTACTTTCATGTAATGAGCTAAACAAATCTTGTATAAAACTCAGTTTTGTCTAAATTTTGGAAATTGTTTGTGTTTTCAAAAGGGTGTACTCATTTATGCTGAGCACTGCAAATAAAGTCCATTTGGTGGCCTTGAGGGGGTCTTGGTTAAA